ATTTTCTCTTCTGGTGGAGCTTTCAGGAGACCTTTACTCACCAAATGGTCTTCACCCAGCTCTGGGGTGAGAGCTGCACCCTGCTAGGGCACGGCAGGCTCCGAGCAGCAATCCGGCTCCTTGCCATTTCCCTGGGAACCAGCATTTGTCACTGCTGGGTGCCTGCTAGGTGACATCTCACTGCTCCGAGATTCAGCCACGCGGCCACACCTCCTACAGCAGATCACAGCCCAAAGTGTTTTGCGTTCTGCAAACATACGTCATTTTTGGGGCCTTCAAAATTCTGTAAACTTGCAGTAATTACAAGTCTGGCTTGGCTTTGTTCTGCATTCTAGCAAAACACAAGCAAAACAGCTTCCTTTTAGTTAAAGTTTACATTTCCTATAAATGTGACACTCAAATGGACTGATAAAAATAAATCACGCAGGTTGCTGTGACTTTAAATATTATGCACGCTAATCTTCCTATATTTATACTTCTCTTTCTAAAAGGAAATCCTTGAATCTGTGGTGGCGCTCTCATTTTCCACACAGAAAAGGCAATCAGTCAGCTAACCTTACAAGCAGGGCTCACAACACTGACCAAAATAGACTCCTGCTGAGAGAACGGGGAAAAAAAAACAGTTTGCAGAACGTTCCTCTCAGTTGTAAGTGAGAAAACCAAAGCCCTGGGGTAGCTCTCCTCTGGTCTTTTCCAAGGAAGAAGACTTTTATGGGAACAAAGTGTATGAGATGTCAAGTAAGGAAAGGTAACACCAGTATGCCTTTTGTCATGTTTCAATGTGGATCTTCTCCTATTGGTAATTCCACGCTATGGTTCTGTGGAATGAATATGCCATCTCTGCCCTTTCCCTTTTTTTTTTTTTTTTTTTTTTTTAACATGCCATGAAATGTAATTTTAGGAACTTACTGCTTTAATATATTCTATAGGAGCTTTTGTAATGGAAATATTATTTTTTCTGTTGCACTTTACAGTAATGCTTTAGCTTATTTTTATTTTCTTTTGTGCCTCAGCTTTAATACCTACAGAATGCAAATAAAATGTTACCTCCTTTGAAAAGCTGTATACAGGGAGCAGCATAAAAGAAACAGATATCAATGCTCTTCCTGTTTTTATCCTTCTTGACGCGAATGTTCAGCTAAATATAAAACGTCATGATAGATTGTTTCCATAGCTGGGGAAAATGGTGACGGAATCAAAAGTTGCTTTGAATTTCTTCTTGGTTGCAAAGCCAGAGTCTTGCTCTTCTGCCAGCCCAGGGATTGCAGCTTGTTGGTGTCCTTGGTTGGCGTCCTTGCCTGCAGCGTTGAGCCCTGGTTGAGCTCAGCACATCGGCACGGAAGTCTCTTTGCTTGACTTTTTCCAGGACTGTGTGCCTTGTGTTGTCTTGACTTGGCTCTGGTGTTTCTTGGCAGCCCAGAGCTTCTCTGTTTCTTTTTGTGTTTGTAATTGATGCTCAAGCTTTCACAAACAGAGAAGCCTTTCTGCATGCATGTGCCTTTGTTTTAGGTGACTTGTGCGTGCTTGTTGGGGAGAAGATGCCCCGGACCTGCCCTCTGGCTCCATAAGGGCTCTTGTGGGAGTCTTTGTACTCCCTGCTAAATGATGGGCAGCAATTACACCCAGCCTGTAGCATTGTTCTAAAAGGATAATGATACCTATTGTGAAAGAAATTATCAGTGATACTTCTGTAGCATCTGATCACCTAATTGCATATTTCATCTTCCGTTCACATAAATAGCAGCCATGAAATAAGTATAATTAATATTGCAGCTAAGAAAATGTTCTAGCGACTGTAATTAGGGCTGGATAAATTGTTAACTGCGAATAAATAATCCAAAGTGTTCTTGATCCTTTCGGTTTCTGAATCAATTAGGGAGTTCTAATTTATCTATTTCTCTCCTCTCTTTCTCTCACTTTTTACCCCTAAATGCAACCATTCACTGATTAATGTGTCCAAAAATGTCAAAGTTGCATGGCGTTGAAATTGTCTACTTCACGGCATAGAATTGCTTAACCCAACTGCCTGGTACTGATGGGTGAAACATTCTGCAGAGCACAGCAGATAAAACACATCAGAAATGAAAGGGGATGGGCACACGTCCTCAGAAGGTATCTGTTTTCAAGGCTGCTGAAGACCAGCCTTCACTGCATGACGTTACAAAGCACAAGAGGAGTTTTTACAAGTTTGCCTTGGTGTGGATATCTCGGCAAGGTCCACAACAATGAAAAATTTGGCTGTGTTGCCACAGCAATTACTTTAGGTGTGATGCAGCTGATGTGAACGCACCTATGTCAGGCTCCACTTCTTGCCAGGCATTATTCCTTTTTCTCTACTTCTCTCTTCTAAATCTGCCTAGATCATAAGTTGCTGAAAGGAAGGGTCCCCGGAAGGCTATTCTGGATTTACTGAAAAGTACTGAAAACATTTCCTAAGCTGTTCTTGTTTTGCCACAGTGAACCCATCCCTCTGGTGATTGCTGTGAATGGATGATTTGAAACCACTTAAAAACGAGCATTGCTTCAGATGAGATTTTGTCTGTAAATGTTCAGTCAGTCGTAAGTCCCACATTTCCCCCCATTTCCCACAAAGGTGAGATTTCAAGCAACCTGCATACGGCATTGGCAGAAAAATAATAGAAGGCAATCCACAAGCCCCAGCTGTCATCTGGGAGGGCTGCCTTTTCGGCAGCATACCTTCAATTTCCCTGTCATTAAGTGCCAATCGGTCCAGCTAGATGCAGGAAGCAGACTGTAGCACTCTGTTTGTTGTTGCAATTGGCGATATAAATCGGCTAACCCTCTAATTACTCCAATCTTGGGACTAATAATTTACATACGTTATTTTCCACTCAGTAGAATTTATTTTAGACCCAGAGGAGCACAAACTCTATCTACTTAAATGCCAATTTTGAAAGCCAGAGGCTAACTACAAGCACTTCAACATATGTGCGGGGGTGTCAGAAGCATTCGGGCTCAGCCTTGAGCTGACTAAGCTGAGTTTGCAATTTAGCCTAGAGCTTATCTCCCATTTTGGGCAGAAGTGGTGAAATTTATGATCTGTCCTGGTGACATTGGAAACAACCTCATGAACGTCTGAATTGTTTTGTTAGCTTTGCAGATTCACGGCAGAGAAGATCAGGTCTTACCTTGAAGAAAGACCCAAACAGATCAAATTTCAAGGTTTTGTAAAAATACAGAGGGAATAATCATGTTTTTTAATGAGAGCCTCCAGGTAGAGTATTCTCGGGAGGTGGGACGGGTGGTGAGAGATGTGAGTTGTATTGATCAAAGACGTCGTGATGGAGAAAACCGATAGAGCAGTCTCTTTTCCTGACCGTGTTCCTTCCTTCTTAATCTAAACCACCAGCGCTGCTACATTTGGTATTCAGATCTAAATGTTTATTGACTCTGACATGATTACGAGCGAGGGAATGGTTTGAGACGTGACCCTGGCTACAAAGGCTGCTGGGTAGCTGCTCAGGAGAGATCCATCATGTGTGCTTTTAAACCTCAGCCGCCTCCCAACACCAAGTGAGGCCAGCTCCATGAATCAAATGGAAACAAAATCAAAGCGGAGTGCAGGGAGGATCATTAATATCATCTTGGCTTCCTTTACATTGGCATAATTAGCATTTATACATAAACATGCATTTGTTACCATATCCTAAATAACCAACATATGAAAAATAGTTGCTGAGCAGGCGCTGAGCTGTCCCATGCAAACAGAGGGGTGGCAGAGCACCAGACCCACGTGCTCTTCATTTGCTGGCCTCGTCCTGCTCAGGTGCCTTGTCCCTGCCCAAAGTTGTAGTGAGGGGACTGCTTCACGTGCCCCAAACGGCAGGGAACAAATTAAAAATATCACTGCCAACAATGCTTTGTTATTACTGCAATACAAATACGTAATGTGCTTTCAGAGAACGTTTGGGGGTGTGACGCCCCGTGTACATAAATGCAAGTGTGTGTATGTCTGAGTATTTAATTAAATTACACCAGTAATCTGATAGGATTTTGATCTCAACGGTTCCTGGGCTGCAATAGCATTGCAGTGTAGGCTCTTACCTTCTCTTTCTGCCCAGTGAGTCAGACACTCCTTGAATCCACCTCATATCTTCCTAGATTAAAATTTGTTGCAACACACCCCCCCCAAATAAATAAATAAATAAACCCACATATCAGACTTACTGCAGAGGGACTCTGCAATGTTTGCAGATTTTTTTCTGCTTCTGTGATGCTGCTTTTCCTGCCTTGCTTCCCACTTCCAAGCTGCATGATGAGAAAATTCAATAGAGTTGAATATTTATGACTTTTCTATATACAAAGTTTCATAGCTGCCATGAAAAGAAGAACTCTGCAGTTATGAACAGGAAGAGGCAGTCTGTAAAACTGAAGGTGGAGGAGAGGTCTTTTCACTCCCGTTAACTTTCAGCCTATACTAAGGGTAGCTATATTGGAAATCAATACCAAAACCCCCGTAGACTTTGATGGGAGAACAATTAGGTCACTGTTGGTTGTCTTTGAAATCCCACACTGGCTATGTCTATTGTTTGCTTGTCTGGCATTGTCTTGAAAAACCTGCTGGCTTTTTTTCCTTTGTTCTGGGTTGCTTACACATATTAACTGCAGTCATTCTTATACGAAAGCCTACTTGTAATGGACTGGAATAGGCCAACTTTCTTTTAAATTTTACGTGGCTTGTTTCATGGCCCTACTGTGCTTCAAAAGACTGGTAGCACTGCAAGGCATTCATATAACACCTCGTGCAGAGTTAATGAGCATGGTTACATGAACCTTACTGTGCTTTCCTGGAAGATTATTGTGAAAAGAACAAAGATAATAACACTTTGCCATGAGGATATGAAAAAACCCTCCTTTGAAGCACTCCATCACTCTGTCAAGTGGCCACTTGCACCCGCCTATGGTATCCTCACAGGTGCCTCTGGTGAGTAAGATTTAGACCAAGGCTTGTGGATCTGCTCACCTGCTGCAAAGTGGAGGGTGGGGACCAGGGCAGGTGCTAAAGGCTGTGCTGCATCAGCATGAGTACTCCTGGTGCTGGAAGTTGGGTCAGGGAGATGAAAGAGTTGAAAACTATTTTATTTTGTTAGCTCAGCTCTATCTGCTTGTTCCCTTGACCACCCTGCAACCAGATGACCACCGATAGCAGCGCAGAAGAGGGAGCAGATGAAATACAACAGTTTAGGTAGGCTGCTGGGCTTCTGCCATTCTAATGCCTGTGTATTTGTGGTTTTCCTTTGTGCTTTGGGTTTTTTCTCTTTTCCTGGGACTTTTTTTTAAAGCTTGCATGAATCCTTGCTCTGGCACTGCCCTGGTGTTGGGGAAGTAGAAGATAAAAGAGGGCCTGGTGTTTGAAGAGGCAAATACTGGTAAATATGTCTTAGGTGGTTTTTGCTGCGCAGCATTGTATTTCTGTGTACTCACTTGGAGGAGCTGTTCTTCACTTCTCCTCTACAGTGCTTCTGTGCAGCATTCCTGGTGCAGAGCGGTTGGCATGTCCCCTGCAGAGGGGACTGATTGATCACTGCGTAGCCACATATATAACCTGTTGAGTGATCCCTCACAATAAGAGGCACTTTGCAGAAGTTATTACTCCTGTCGTACCATTACTTCACTCCTTTGGAACAGGGCCATTCCCCCCCGACTAAATATCAGCATTCCCGACTAGACAAATCGTGGTGCAGATACTCCCCGGGTGAGTCACCAGGCTGCCGCAATAGGACGGCGGCTCATCCACAGATAAGGGGCCCGTAACTCATGCAGTGTGTCCAGTCAACACTGACTCAGAAACAGGAATACCCAGGTTGTTCTTGAGTCAGCATCGGTACGACTCTGTCACTAGGCTGCATTGGCTTGCCCAGCATCTTCATATATAATGAAAATATCGGGCTGCTGCTGGTCAAAGCAGGACCTCTGTGACTCTACTGGACTCCTGAATAGCTGTGCTAACATACTGCCCTCTTGGAAATAATTTTAGGGTAGGGACTTGCAAAGCTGTGCTCATGGAGATCCACTTCATGGGTGAAGGAGCGACCTGAGAGCTATGGTACAAAATGAATCTTGTAATTAATCTTACAGTCTATCAGACTGTACCTTTACATCTGGTCAGATAAATTAGTGTCGTCCTCAAGGTGCCAGTCCCTGCAATGGGACATCCCTGGGAGCAGCTCAGTGGTCACACCCTGGCTGTTCCTCACCAACCCCTAGGGCCTCTGCTGAGTCCTAATGGCCTGTGGACCACAATCAGTCATCTGGTTCCCTCAGTGATGGGCACAACTCTAACATCTATTTCTGGGCATCATTTGGAAGCTTCATTGGCTTTTAGTAGCTTGCGAGCTGTTCTTTGGGAGGAATTCAGGTGGGGAGGATTTGTTCCTTAAAGTGATCCCTCAAGTCTGCTTTAATGTATTACTGAGGATTATCTGTAGATCTTTACTCATGGCAAGTCAGGAGAAAGTTGGGCTTTGGCTGCTCTTAATTTCCAGTTACCTTTCGTACTTGGAAAGCCTATGGGCTGACCTAAGCACGGAGAGCAGAGAAGCTTGTCTGAGGGGGCACTTACATTTCTCATTTTATTCTGTTCAATCACAGCAGCATATGGGAAGGAGCACGTTGCCCTGTAACAGCAGGATTCAGAGCAGTTTGATGTCCTGTGCTGTCTGAGCTGTGGGTGACAGTGATCCGTGTCCAAAGAGCTCAGCAGATAGTGGCTTGGAGGCTGAGTGCTGGAAGCTGTGCATGTTTGCATGCACATCATCCTTTGGGGGATGATAAATGGCCATGTCTCTGCATCCAGAGCTTCATGCTAACACGCAATGGAAATTACTGCAATGTCCAGAGTGAGCTTGTTCTGAGAAGGCTTATGTGCTGATTCTTGCCAAGTGTACTGCTAGGATGTTTGAAAGAGCTGCTGAAAACTGTATGCTGGGACCTGTGAGCATTATGAAGCTTGCTTGCTCTCAGTGACTTGCCTGATTTCACCACCTGCATTTAAGAATCAGCAATACTAGAGAAAAAAGAGGAGGCTAGACCTGTGAGGTGGCACAACCTGGTGTAGCTCCACTGAACTGAAAGGAGGTGTGGTAATTTGCACCAGTGAACCATCCAGTTCAAGGCCTTAAAAGCTTTAAATTGATGAATATTCCCTGCTGGTGGGTGATTATTACTGGTATGCTTTGGTACAATGCCTCTGAAGTGCAGTACTCTATTAATTCAGCACATTGCATAAGCCTTGGGCTTGCTTCACTTTTAGACTTTTTTGGGCACCACTCTCATTTTACAGTGATGTAAGGCTGGAAAAAAGCCATCATATGCTGGCAGCACTACGTGGGGCGCGGATTTGTGCAAACAAGGAGAAATGTGTTTGTCCCTCTTCAAAAGTTCTCGCTGGCTTGGTAAGTTGGATGATTTTCAGGGTCTTCTATTTATTTATTTATTTCCTCCTGGCTTTCTTGATGCAGTAGAAGCGCCAGTCCCACTTACAGTATGTACAGATGTCCGTGCCTTGCTCTCAGACTCCCCGCAGGCGAACGATGATAAATGAGGAGGAAAAGAAAGATGGCTTTTAAAGAATGACCTTAGGAAACAAACACTGCAGAAATAGTTGCTATGCCTGGTGTTTCGTCTGTGAATGCCTGGGGAAATTAACGCATGTACAAGCGGGAAATGCATCCATATCTTTGGGCAGAGAAAACGAGAAGTTTTTGCACAGTAGCTGGCTCTTTGGGGCTGGACTTCTGCTGCTGTATCTACGGGTTTCTTTTCTAAAAGGGAAAAGAGATCATTGCTGAAAGATATTTTAAATGAAATATCAAATACACAGTAATTCTTATTGCCTAATGGTCCTCATTTTTCTCAGTACTTGTCAGATTTCTCCTTAGCTTGAGTGGCAAGTATCTTCTCTGTCATACAGCAGCTGTGCTGTTGATGGTTAACTTTTCATGACCTCCCTCTTCTTGTTCTCTTTCTTTCTGTGAAATATGTTCATAATGTATTTAGCCTCACTGTCTTTGGCAGTGATTCTGAATGGTATTTGCCCTAGTGGGATGGTTGCATCATTGGATATTTATATTTCAAAAGTAAAAACCTTGTTTGTTTCGTTAGTTCCACAGCTGACACTGGAGTCCTAGAACAAACCTTTTGTTGCCTCTGGTAAAGGCTTACAAAGTGGTCTTATACCTAAAATTCCTGAGATTCCAACACGTTAGAAAGGAGAAATTAAAAATGGAATAACGACTGACAAAAACTTAGGGAACTGAATATGGCAACTCTTTCATTTGGGAGCAGAGGTGTTAAATGCAGGTTAGCTGTGCATGCAGAGAAATAATCTTGCCTTGATTGTGGGAGTGGAGGAAGAGACGCCATTGCTTCCCTGTGTTTGCTTTGCCCTCTGGTGCCACCAGGACACTTCTGTGCTCTGCAAGCTCAGTGTCATTTCCAGTCTTTGCTGTTTATTGCTGAGGATTATCAGGCAAATGCACATCTGAAGCTTGTGCAACTTTCTGCCTTCTCAGAAGGGAAAGAAGTGGAGCCTGAAGCTCCTGTCGAGGGATCTTGAAAACAGGGGAGGGAGAAATAGTATGCAGTGAGATGGAAGAATTTTTTCTGACTCTTTTTAGTCTATTTTTATTTACCTTGGCTGGATATAGCTGTGTTTGCTACTGCTCATATAAATCAGATGCTTGTCCTTGTAATCCTTGAATCTACATCATTTCATATGTGTCTATGGGAAAGCAAACTCCATCTTCAGGGAATCAATTTCAGTTTGTGCTGGGACATAAGAAAGTCAGAAGTACTTCCGAACTGATGTCAGGGAAGAGCTGCTGTGAATAGGTATCTTGAGTAAGTAACCTTAAGTTCTCCTTAAAGTCAAAGAAGAGGCGTTTTCCTCTCGTGTATCCTGAACTGACTACACAGCTCATTCCCTAAAACTGTTGACTTCTCTCCAAAGGCTCTGAACATGACCTGGCTTAGTTTAGCTGAGTTGTCTTGAGGCCCGATGAATCCCACCCTTGGCAGCTCTAAGGCTTTGAAGGGGAGCTGAGGATACTTACCACTTGCAGGAAGTTCCAACCCCAGATTTAGAACAAGGGAGTAGCTCTTCAAATTAGATACAACTGACAAGTCAGCCTGAGCTCAGTGAATTGCTAGTAGCATCACACTCAGCACAAGAACACGATGTTTCCTGTTCTCCATGCGCTTTTTTTTTTTTTTTTAAGATATGGAGGAAAAAATCTGATCTAGCATAAAAGTCTCACAGAAGACTGCATAAAGCTGATGCCATATATAGGCACGGAGGAAATTCCCACGACCGCATTTGACCTTCCTTTTTTTCTTTTTGTTTTAATAAAACACAATCAGCATCTGTATAGTTATGCACCTGCATATCATCATGTACTTTGCACATGATGAAGCTGCTGAGTTATGTTAAAATTGGCAGGATGCAAGCCAATATACCTGCCAAGGCAGGGGAAAAATTAAGTTGTCTCTAAAATATGTGCCTTCACTTTAGCAAACTTGTTTTAGCTATGGCACAAAATGCTGATCGGAGTACTGAATAAAATCAATGAATCTCAATGAATACAGAAAATATCAGAGCGTGTCTTCTGATACGCACAGTCCTGATGCAATTCTCTTGCTGAGTACTTCCCTCTGGGAAATAAACATTGTTGTACATGGTCCATTTTGCTAGCAAATCATCATTTTATTCACCTGTGTTTCATGCAGTTCAGTTTTTCTGCTGTGAAAGGAAAATCTTATATAAAGAATGGGCTCTAAGCTGCAGTCTGACTACACAAGAAATCATTCTATATCTCGAATCACAGAGTTTTTGGTACTGACTAGATCATTATTACTTTATTGAAAGGAGCAAGTGACAGGAATAATTGTGCTGATTGATAGTTTGGGGCCTGAATGCCCAGAACCTTACAGGATTTAGTGTCTAAGACCCAATCTGTCAAGATTCATACCCACACTTAACGTTAGGTACTGTGCACAATCCTCTTGACATCTTTGGAGGCAGATAGCATACAGTACAAGTCTTTGAGCAGTTGGAGTCCCAGCTTCCAGGCTGAGAAATGTGTATTTTAAATATAGCACCAACCCCCCGAAGGCTGGGTTCTAGTTTCCATTCAGCTCTAGACGAAGTGTTGCTTCACCTGGGAAATGAATCATAGCTCAGAAGAA